CCCCCCCCCCCATGGCTTCGGCGCGGTTTGAATTCGCCTCAACGTCTTGTTGAATGAGTTCAACAAAGGATCAGATTGGTGAGAGGATTGGCCGTGTGCGCGCTGTTTCAATTTGCCTGGTCAACTTTGAAACAGCTCAAATTTTTTAATACACCACGTTGCAACTTTAAAATGGTTGAAATTTTAATACAGTTTTGGCTTGCGCGCGGTTTGAATTCGCCTCAACGTCTTGTTGAATGAGTTCAACAAAGGATCAGATTGGTGAGAGGATTGGCTGTGTGCGCGCTGTTTCAATTTGCCTGGTGAACTTTGAAACAGCTGAAATTTTTTAATACACCACGTTGCATGCATCACTAGAGTTTCGGCTGCGGAAGAAATTTTATGCCTGATCAACTTTAAAATGGTTGAAATTTTAATACAGTTTTGGCTTCGCGCGCGGTTTGAATTCGCCTCAACGTCTTGTTGAATGAGTTCAACAAAGGATCAGATTGGTGAGAGGATTGGCCGTGTGCGCGCTGTTTCAATTTGCCTGGTCAACTTTGAAACGGCTGAAATTTTTTAATACACTACGTTGCATGCACAAATTTTAATACAGTTGCATACATCAGAGTTTCGGCTGCGGAAGAAATTTCATGCCTGATCAACTTTAAAATGGTTGAAATTTTAATACAGTTTTGGCTTCGCGCGCGGTTTGAATTCGCCTCAACGTCTTGTTGAATGAGTTCAACAAAGGATCAGATTGGTGAGAGGATTGGCCGTGTGCACGCTGTTTCAATTTGCCTGGTCAACTTTGAAACAGCTCAAATTTTTTAATACGCTATGTAGCATGCATCAGAGTTTGTGCTGCCGAAGAAATTTCCGCCTGATCAACTTTAAATGGTTGAAATTTTAATACAGTTTTGGCTTCGCGCGCGGTTTGAATTCGCCTCAACGTCTTGTTGAATGAGTTCAACAAAGGATCAGATTGGTGAGAGGATTGGCCGTGTGCGCGCTGTTTCAATTTGCCTGGTCAACTTTGAAACGGCTGAAATTTTTTAATACACTACGTTGCATGCATCAGAGTTTCGCCTGCGGAAGAAATTTCACGCCTGATCAGCTTTAAAATGGTTGAAATTTTAATACAGTTGCATGAGAGTTTTGGTTTCTTGTTTTTTGCCTGACAATGTGTTTGTTTTTGTTATTTTATACTGATGTATGCCCGAAATGAACCCGCCCAAGACAACGGCTCTCAAGGTAAGTGTTCATCTTTATTATTCACATCATTTTCAGTTTACAAGGCCTTGTCAACTTTGGTTCAAATTTTAATACAGTTGCATACATCAGAGTTTCGGCTGCGGAAGAAATTTCATGCCTGCTCAACTTTAAAATGGTTGAAATTTTAATACAGTTTTGGCTTCGCGCGCGGTTTGAATTCGCCTCAACGTCTTGTTGAATCACAGGAGGCCCAGGCTCGATTTGCCCGCGCCCGCCTGTGCCTTCCTTATAACGAGGGAAGGACGGAGACATTGAGACCAAAATAGCCCAGACTTGGCATATGTCACATGAAACTATCCTCGATTTTTCGCTTTTAATGCATTTCTTTCACGATTAATCGATATCCCCTGCAAGAATGATACCGTATAACTCTCAAAACAACGATGCTTTAATCAAAGAGCTTAAATTCGCTCTGAAATCCGTGAGGGAATAACAAAATTCGGCCAAAATATATCCGCGTGCCGGGTTTGCTGTGCAAAAAACGGAAGTCGTTGAACAACTCAAAATACACTCAACCCTGATTGGACAACGATATCAACAAACATTTCAAATTTTTTTAACAAACACAATGTGAAATACAATTTATAATACATATTAACGTACTACAGTTATATTTACATGCAGTAATATTTACACTTTATAACGTTTGTGAATAGTTTTGTTTGTATGATTGAAATTATTACAGTACTGTTAAAATAATTTGAAATGTTTGTTGATATTCGTTGTCCAATCAGGGTTGAGTGTATTTTGAGTTGTTCAACGACTTCCGCTTTTTGCACAGCAAACCCGGCACGCGGATATATTTTGGCCGAATTTTGTTATTCCCTCACGGATTTCAGAGCGAATTTAAGCTCTTTGATTAAAGCATCGTTGTTTTGAGAGTTATACGGTATCATTCTTGCAGGGGATATCGATTAATCGTGAAAGAAATGCATTAAAAGCGAAAAATCGAGGATAGTTTCATGTGACATATGCCAAGTCTGGGCTATTTTGGTCTCAATGTCTCCGTCCTTATCACGTTATAAGGAAGGCACAGGCGGGCGCGGGCAAATCGAGCCTGGGCCTCCTGTGGTTGAATGAGTTCAACAAAGGATCAGATTGGTGAGAGGATTGGCCGTGTGCACGCTGTTTCAATTTGCCTGGTCAACTTTGAAACAGCTCAAATTTTTTAATACGCTATGTAGCATGCATCAGAGTTTGTGCTGCCGAAGAAATTTCACGCCTGATCAACTTTAAAATGGTTGAAATTTTAATACAGTTTTGGCTTCGCGCGCGGTTTGAATTCGCCTCAACGTCTTGTTGAATGAGTTCAACAAAGGATCAGATTTGTTAGAGGATTGGCCGTGTGCGCGCTGTTTCAATTTGCCTGGTCAACTTTGAAACAGCTCAAATTTTTTAATACGCTATGTAGCATGCATCAGAGTTTGCGCTGCCGAAGAAATTTCACACCTGATCAACTTTAAAATGGTTGAAATTTTAATACAGTTTTGGCTTCGCGCGCGGTTTGAATTCGCCTCAACGTCTTGTTGAATGAGTTCAACAAAGGATCAGATTGGTGAGAGGATTGGCCGTGTGGCGCTGTTTCAATTTGCCTGGTCAACTTTGAAACAGCTGAAATTTTTTAATACACCACGTTGCATGCATCACTAGAGTTTCGGCTGCGGAAGAAATTTTATGCCTGATCAACTTTAAAATGGTTGAAATTTTAATACAGTTTTGGCTTCGCGCGCGGTTTGAATTCGCCTCAACGTCTTGTTGAATGAGTTCAACAAAGGATCAGATTGGTGAGAGGATTGGCCGTGTGCGCGCTGTTTCAATTTGCCTGGTCAACTTTGAAACGGCTGAAATTTTTTAATACACTACGTTGCATGCATCAGAGTTTCGCCTGCGGAAGAAATTTCACGCCTGATCAGCTTTAAAATGGTTGAAATTTTAATACAGTTGCATGAGAGTTTTGGTTTCTTGTTTTTTGCCTGACAATGTGTTTGTTTTTGTTATTTTATACTGATGTATGCCCGAAATGAACCCGCCCAAGACAACGGCTCTCAAGGTAAGTGTTCATCTTTATTATTCACATCATTTTCAGTTTACAAGGCCTTGTCAACTTTGGTTCAAATTTTAATACAGTTGCATACATCAGAGTTTCGGCTGCGGAAGAAATTTCATGCCTGATCAACTTTAAAATGGTTGAAATTTTAATACAGTTTTGGCTTCGCGCGCGGTTTGAATTCGCCTCAACGTCTTGTTGAATGAGTTCAACAAAGGATCAGATTGGTGAGAGGATTGGCCGTGTGCGCGCTGTTTCAATTTGCCTGGTCAACTTTGAAACAGCTGAAATTTTTTAATACACCACGTTGCATGCATCACTAGAGTTTCGGCTGCGGAAGAAATTTTATGCCTGATCAACTTTAAAATGGTTGAAATTTTAATACAGTTTTGGCTTCGTGCGCGGTTTGAATTCGCCTCAACGTCTTGTTGAATGAGTTCAACAAAGGATCAGATTGGTGAGAGGATTGGCCGTGTGCGCGCTGTTTCAATTTGCCTGGTCAACTTTGAAACAGCTGAAATTTTTTAATACACCACGTTGCATGCATCACTAGAGTTTCGGCTGCGGAAGAAATTTTATGCCTGATCAACTTTAAAATGGTTGAAATTTTAATACAGTTTTGGCTTCGCGCGCGGTTTGAATTCGCCTCAACGTCTTGTTGAATGAGTTCAACAAAGGATCAGATTGGTGAGAGGATTGGCCGTGTGCACGCTGTTTCAATTTGCCTGGTCAACTTTGAAACAGCTCAAATTTTTTAATACGCTATGTAGCATGCATCAGAGTTTGTGCTGCCGAAGAAATTTCGCGCCTGATCAACTTTAAAGTGGTTGAAATTTTAATACAGTTTTGGCTTCGCGCGCGGTTTGAATTCGCCTCAACGTCTTGTTGAATGAGTTCAACAAAGGATCAGATTTGTTAGAGGATTGGCCGTGTGCGCGCTGTTTCAATTTGCCTGGTCAACTTTGAAACAGCTCAAATTTTTTAATACGCTATGTAGCATGCATCAGAGTTTGCGCTGCCGAAGAAATTTCACACCTGATCAACTTTAAAATGGTTGAAATTTTAATACAGTTTTGGCTTCGCGCGCGGTTTGAATTCGCCTCAACGTCTTGTTGAATGAGTTCAACAAAGGATCAGATTGGTGAGAGGATTGGCCGTGTGCGCACTGTTTCAATTTGCCTGGTCAACTTTGAAACAGCTCAAATTTTTTAATACGCTATGTAGCATGCATCAGAGTTTGTGCTGCCGAAGAAATTTCACACCTGATCAACTTTAAAATGGTTGAAATTTTAATATAGTTTTGGCTTCGTGCGCGGTTTGAATTCGCCTCAACGTCTTGTTGAATGAGTTCAACAAAGGATCAGATTGGTGAGAGGATTGGCCGTGCGCACGCTGTTTCAATTTGCCTGGTCAACTTTGAAACAGCTGAAATTTTTTAATACATGTACACTACGTTGCATGCATCAGAGTTTCCACTGCGGAAGAAATTTCACGCCTGATCAACTTTAAAATGGTTGAAATTTTAATATAGTTTTGGCTTCGTGCGCGGTTTGAATTCGCCTCAACGTCTTGTTGAATGAGTTCAACAAAGGATCAGATTGGTGAGAGGATTGGCCGTGTGCGCGCTGTTTCAATTTGCCTGGTCAACTTTGAAACAGCTCAAATTTTTTAATACGCTATGTAGCATGCATCAGAGTTTGCGCTGCCGAAGAAATTTCACACCTGATCAACTTTAAAATGGTTGAAATTTTAATACAGTTTTGGCTTCGCGCGCGGTTTGAATTCGCCTCAACGTCTTGTTGAATGAGTTCAACAAAGGATGAGATTGGTGAGAGGATTGGCCGTGTGTGCGCTGTTTCAATTTGCCTGGTCAACTTTGAAACGGCTGAAATTTTTTAATACACTACGTTGCATGCATCAGAGTTTCGGCTGCGGAAGAAATTTCACGCCTGATCAGCTTTTAAATGGTTGAAATTTTAATACAGTTGCATGAGAGTTTTGGTTTCTTGTTTTTTGCCTGACAATGTGTTTGTTTTTGTTATTTTATACTGATGTATGCCCGAAATGAACCCGCCCAAGACAACGGCTCTCAAGGTAAGTGTTCATCTTTATTATTCACATTATTTTCATTTTACAAGGCCTTGTCAACTTGGTTCAAATTTTAATACCGTTGCATGCATCAGAATTTCGGCTGCGGAAGAAATTTCATGCCTGACCAACTTTAAAATGGTTGAAATTTTAATACACCAAGACTACCTCCTGAACATTGTGTTGAGTTTGCAAAACGTCTTCAGTGGCCTGAAGAAAAACCTTTTGGAGGTAAACAATGATATACTTGGTATCATGATGAACATTGAAAATCTCCATCTATACAAAATCCTTCCACGATCAGGCTTTTTACATAAACCTTTAGGCACACTTATAACCTAGACACATTTATATCTAGCCTACCTAGGCATATTTATATGAACCTAGACACATTTATATGAACCTATTTATCTCTTTCTAAAATATATTGTTGTTGATGGAGACAATCCCCAACATGTTCAGTGGATTTATGAAGAAGCTTTAAAAAGTTCTGAGGATTACATTATCAAGAGAGTTACTTACAGACTTATACAAGGTATACCCTGGAAATTCCAGTATTCTGTTATCTCGTACAGTATTTGGCGCTTTGGATCACCAACTAACCCATGTTATTTTCAGGTGTTATCAAACATACAATACCCGCGGTTGCCTCAACTAACGCTCTTCTCGCTGGTAAGTCCATTTCACTGGAAACAGCAATTTGGAACTTACATCTTGCAACATGCGTTGCGACAATTGGCTTGAATTTTAACTGACCACTGACGTCTTAAATATATTTTACTAACACCTGACAATGTAACTGATTTATGGCTAAATCCATGGTAAAACATCTAAATAATGTCTTTCATGTTCTTCAGTCGACAAAAATGAACAGTCTTGTACATTCAGTAAAGTAGTCAATTCAACAATAATCTTGGTAAGATTAAAAGTTTAGTCAATTCAAAATATATTTATAATTGTATAAACAGAAATATGTAATTTTTCTTTTGTACAAGAATGTGTACAAGATCTAACAATAAATTGTTGCAATTTTATTTTAAGTACAGTATCATAGATTCATAGTTGTTTACCATGCAGAAAGGAAAAGTGCTGTTTTAATATGTCTTTATAACTTATGTTGAGCAAGTACAGACATGAGAAAATGGTCCAGTATTGCCATTTATAACCCCCCGTACCCAGTAGTGCTGTGCAAACTCCGGTTTTTCATCTCCGGCCGAATTACAGCTCTGAGCTCCGGCTCCGGCCACATCATAAAATATTAAATAAATGTTTTACGATCAGAACATTTTATTATGAATAACCCTTTTCGCGCTTCCTAATTATCAGATAACATAACTCAGGAAACAAAACAGTGAAAACACTTAACCACGCAGAAAATATCTATATGGAAACCAGCCTCGAAAAATCTTTGACACGAGGCATGACGCTAACACTCTCAGACTCCACAGCGCAATTGTTCGCACGCAAACAAAGTACTCTATCATTTTCAAAAGATTGATATTTATTTGTTTTGTACTTTTTCGTTATCTACAAGGCATGAATACACAGACTATGTAGCGCTAAGTCAGATGGCTTCATGAAAGCATGACGTTTGTAAGTTGCGATCGTACAGCTTTTCGACGCTGTTCCTGTGGGCTGTGGCAGTTTGAGTCTATGATGAATTCATTAACAGCAAATGGCAGTTTGCAGTAACTAACAATCGTTTGACATTTGTCTCGTTTCATATTGTTTTCTTGTCATTTTGCCGGAGCTGGGAAAACGTAACTCCGGGCTCCGGCATACAAAATTCGGCTCCGGCGTTGGAAAAACCGCCGGAGCTCCGGCAGAACTCCGGCAACTCCGGCGCACAGCACTAGTACCCAGATACTGTATGAAGTATCATACTTTATCTTCTCGTCAAATGTATGTTGTGTGATGCCTTGCAATGAATATGCCATGTAGTTCTCATCTAATACATCCTGAATCCAAACTTCGCCACTAACTTTGGATTGGTTTCAGATTCAAGGCTTTTGCACAATACATTTGTTATTTTTCCAGGATACTTTTTAACATAGTCCCTTTTTTGTGCCTGTTTGCTTCCATTTAAAGCATTTTTCATAACTTCCATGAAAGTAGGAATATCGACAATTGTGTCTTGGTAGATTCTAAATAACCAGTAGGGGTCATCGCAGCATATAATGTCTCGGCACTTCATTTGTGTTTAAAATAGTTGTTTGCATTTCGCTATTCAAATGCATGATTCCACCTTCGGATTTTGTCCTATTGGGATACACTACGGTGTTCTTGATATTAGACAGATTTAGATCGAGGACGCGGACGTCAAAGATGGCGTCAAAATGGCGTGGCATATCCATACATGGGCACAACACGCCATCTTCACGTCGTCTTTGACGTCCGCGTCCTCGATCTAAATCTGTCTATTATTCTGCCAAGAGGTGTAAGTTATATCCATTATTTCAGCAAGAGTTTTGTATGGTGTATAATTCTGAGGGTTAATAATGGCACATGGAAATAACTCGATAACAAAACCACCAGGGCTAAGAAACATTGATAAAACTAATATTGATCCATGCATGCCAATTATTCCCACAGAACCTTGGATTTGTTCGATAATTTTACCAAGTCTGTAAACTAAGCCTAACAACTCGAAGATTAAAAGTCGTTGCAATGGAAAATGTAAGTTCTAGCTCATTCAGTATGAGACGGTTTGATTCACGAGAGAATAGAATAACATAGTTGGAATCTTTCGTTTTGCTGGTTGTCCCAAGTTTATTGGCAACATATTCTGTGAACTGTCGTATAATGCTACCATCTGGCCTATGGTTAGGTATTGGTCCTTGCGGAATATGGAAACCATAGTCGTACCATGTTGTCGATTTTGATATATCAACAATAACCTCTCGAAAACAGACTAACGATTTGTTACTCTTTGATAGCAATCTCGTTCCCCGAGCCTGTGATCCTCGGGAAAGAACGTGATGCTCTGGGATAATCCGTTTCAGGGAGGAATCTGATTGGCCGTTGAAATGGTGCGTAGTTCAATCTTAGTCAGGATTTTTGGCTTCCGGCAACGGATTTTCCCGGAGCATCGCGTTCCTTCCCGAGGATCGCAGGCTCGGGGAACGAGATTGCTTTGATAGAAGATCTGTTAACAGGATTGGTTTTCTATTGGAGAATAATAAGGCCCCTCTCTCCCTTCTATGAATATAATTTGAACATCCATGTTAAATGCTTTATTTTGTTGTTTTCAATCTTGGAAATACTGTCGTAAAGTGTAGAAAAGTGGTAACAATAAATCGTCATGAATTACGTTAAATCTATGAAATTACTAGTAAGCTTGGGTGGTCAATATGAACAATTTCTGAGAAATGTTTCAAAGCAGAGACAGGTGCATCTTGGAAATTAAAGTACTGTAAGTTATGGTCATTAATGGAGGTTAGGTCGAGCAATGCTGGTGAACAGCGCTTGTCGGGCGCTCCTTGGACAACACTAGACTGTGGAAAAAGATGTACTCTCTAATGGCGGTGAGTAATATAAATTCCTAAATTTACTAGACGTTCACTTTTCTCCAGACCATCACAGCACAGGCTGGACTCCTGCACCAAAGTATTTAGTCTGTTTTGTGGAATTGAATGGTCCTTTCTCTCCAGACAATCTCTGTTAGTATCTTTGCGTAATTTCACTGCAGGATTATTCACGTTTTCTGTCAGTTTGTAAAGAATTAAGGTAAAAATACAATGAGAAATAATACAATACCAAAATAACCAACTCATATTGCTCCTTGCGCTAGACTGTAACAACAGGTGAACAACCACTGGTCCGAATATTGTTTAATTGGGGTTAGGGTTTAGTTTTGCGTTAGGATAGTTTTTTGTACGTTATAAAAAAACCTATTTTGAAGTATACTATCTAGGAATCACCATTGTTTAAACGGGCAATTCTGGAACGGGGATTTCAATGATCTGGTTACTTGCACTTCACTTGGTGGTGGTAGTATTAGAATGCTGATGTTAGGGTTTGTAATCCAAGTGAGTATATATACATTTTAAGACCCGACCAGGAACGACTGCGAAAAATGGTCCTCTGGTAGCATGCGCGCAAGGGATGATGGGAAGTAAGGTAACATATTGCTGGATAAAACTGAAAAATTTGAATAAAAACTGCTGAAACAACCGAAATATTTCAATATTTACAAATATAAGCTATCACTCCGTGTTTACACGGCCACCATTTCTATTTTTTCAGCATAATCAGCAATATGATACCTTACTTCTACACGCATAAAGTAAAAGCTGGAATTGCCTATTAAACCTACGGCATTTAACTGGGAACACTTAACCAATCGTTGAGAGGGTCACGTGCCGATCCAAAATCTTATTTTTACAATATTGGACAGAAACCTCGACAGCCGACATATTGGACAGTTGCGAACCGTGACTTATTCCATGGTTTTTGAACCATTTTCAGATGTTTTGTCAATGTCAAACATACGACAAGCGATATGGCAGAGTAATGAAAAGAATTTGGGACATTAATACAGTTTTTTCTACCAGTTTTGTTCAAAATTATGAAAGCGCGGGAAAACTTGTCTTCGCGAAATTCATTGTTTGCAGCAGCCTCGAGGTTAGTAATATTATTTTTTCCGTTAAAATTAGGTCAAATTTCCTTTAAACATACATGGAATTGAGTTTAATTATGCACACATATTGGTAAAAAACAAGTTTATTAACTTTTTGTTTAGTTATTTAAGCAAACTCGCCGCCGATATATGTAGTAACGTTGGCGCTGTATTCCAATAAAACTCTTATTGGATTCATTTCAATATTAGACATCTCGACTTCAATATTAGGCTCGACCTTCGCCTCGCTCAATAGTGAAGTCTCGAGCTAATATTTTGCCATACTGGGCTCAGAAGAATAAGATATAGTATTACTTTATAAAAATGCGCATAAAGTTTGCCTGACTTTGCTATCTACTTCCATCTAGCGATAATATTGACGTGTAGTTACGTCATTGTGACTCGTGGTTACGTCATTGTATTGTGACATGGCATGCTGGAATCTCCTGATGCTGCTTTGTGCGCATTTTCGAGTGTTTTTAACTCATTTTTAAGTGAACTAATATATTTTGCTGGGCTTCCTATGATTTAACTCATCAGCAAAAAAAACATGGACAAAATATCGGGCTCATAAAAACACCCCAAGACTAAGCGTTAATCTCGAGATAATCAGCCCACGATTTATGATAATATCCGTAATTTGCATTAAACAATCCAAATGGCCATGTTTATTGATGCACGAACTTATTTGCATATGGACAATGACTTAGGTAAACGTAAAGCCATATTTCAGTCCTGAGGGCTGAGTATATGAACAACTATAACGCTAACTAACGATGTTATAACAACTCCGTGAGAAATGTCTACCACACTTCAATCTCGCTGAATGGATCTCTGAAAGCCCGGTTTGAATTTGACAGTCCATATTGGCATACGACGGATGTGTACGAGCGAATTGTTTCATATGGCCAATCTGTCTAAGAAAATTAAGGCGTCTTTATTTGTCACCGTCTAGCCGGTCAGAATTGAACACTGGCAATCGCTGGAATACGGTTTAGTGATCTTTTGTATTGATGGTCAACACTGAAATTGAATATAAATAACAAGTCAACGACAACGGCCGGGACAATTTTACCACTAAACACATATAAGTGCTTATTATATTGTATTTTATATCTCGGCTAATAGCCCAACGAATACTGAGAATGAAGAAAGTCGGTACAATCCATGCGACATCAAAGAAAATCAAATGGTACAATATCCACATATGGTTTCTAAGTACATTCCTCATAGCGCTAGCGTTATCCTACGTCAATGTATCAAACTGGATCTGTTGGAAAAACCATCGTAGTAAAATCAAGTGTTCTGTGTTTTGTACGTGTATGTTCGTTGGTCTGGTATTCTATGTGAAACTCAACATCGATACCCACAACACACATGAACTAGATAGCGACCAAACTCCACATTTTCCTTGTAAAAGATCACCCAAACAAGCCGAAGAACTGCGAGAATTGTTCCATGATGTCCACGAGATATTAAACAAAATGAACGTGAGACATTTTTTGATTTATGGCTCTATTTGGGGAGCTTATCGCGTGCAAGCCCCCCTTCCCTGGGACTATGACATTGATTTAGCAATCATAGGAGACGAAACGTATTCCAAAATCCCCAAATCTGAATTCATCAAGGCGTTTCGAGAACAGGGCATCTCCGTCCACGATTCGACAACGTTGTCTAGCTGTTATTATTTAACACGCGGGGAGTTTGCACAAGTTGACATTGATATATTTTATAATTTTCACGGTTGGATGCAAAGAGCAGGTCTGGTAACGTGGTTCTTGTATTATAACTACCAGAAATATCATAGTTTTCCAGCGTGGATGGTCGAACACCCTCTGCCTGAGATGAAATTTATTGATATTCAGATGGCGGTGCCGCGTGGTGGGATGGACATATTAAAACATTTATACCCCAACGATTGGAACAAGCCTTTTACTCCCGCCGCTTGTAAAGTGAAATCAAAAAAGGATAAAACGAGAGCATCAACAAACTCGAAGCTCCTGGCTACCTATCGCTGAAGAATGAAAATAAAAGAAACGATAAAAAATATTTAAATTTCCGAAATTATTATACTATTCACATGATTCGTTCCTTTATATACACCCTATGTACTTGAATTTTCAATTAATCCATATCACTTTTCGTGCAATCATATTATTAAGTTTGTACATAATATAAAGAATGCCTTTTTCAAAATGCAAATACGACTTATATAATTCAGTGTAAATGCAGGAAATATAGAAATATAATTGATGTTGTTACAACACGATTTATGACCAGGCACAGTTCACCATTCTGGACGAATTTGGGCAAAGAAAATATAGTTCGTGGGATAATTTGTTTGTGGACTCGTGGCAAACATTCACCAGCGGTTGACACGTCTGCATATAGTTCGTGGCTTGTTTGCCTTGCTCATGTCATCTTGATTGATGATCCATGATCCGGTCATAATTATATGTGTTTAATTAACGATGAGAGTCATGAATGCCTGGATCATCGGCTTTATAACTTGCTCTTTTTCTAGTACACTAAAAGTCTCAAGTCACACACGCGGAAGAAATCAGGATATCTGGCCAGTATAGCTTTCTATAAATTAAAACAGTATATATTTTGACAGGTAAAAACTCATTATTTCGCATTGAGATATTAACATACACAATATGTCAATAAAGAAAGTCAAGAATATAACGACCATTTAAAACCCTTAAATCCTTAATCACATTATCACAGCGCTTAATAGCCCAAAAGAAAGAACCTGAAATATTCACCCTTACTGAAACGAGCAGGTAAAAGCATTTTAGTATTTTCGCACAAGTATAGTAAAAATTACTGCCGGTGAAAAATTTGTAAAAAACAGAAAATGATTCTAGTTTCTGAATAAGCCATTGGCATTGAAGTGTGGTTCCGCTGCACCAAACTCAAGTAAACATGGGGAAATATTTGCGGCTTGCATGTTTTATAGGCGGAATTTATGTCATTAAACAGCGTGAGCTCAGTGTGAACTATAGCCATACATACAATGCTCGACGTTGTTTCATTGTTGAAATTTGTAAAGAGTTAATGCACTACAACAGTTCACTTACTATCATTAATGCCCCCACCTATAAATTCCTAAATATACGTTCAACAATACGGTAACGTAGCCGGTTGTTTCTTTAGACTGAAAAATATGTTAAAAACTTGAAACATAAAGAAGGCTTAGTGTTGTTTCAATCAGGTAAAACTTCTGGGCGTTTCGAGTGGAATGGGAAACACGTCGTCAGGAACTCGATCAAGTGGTTGACTAACTGATTCGAAATAGAACATCCTTCAGGAAAGAACGCATTATCAGTTTTGACCAACCGTATGAATGGGTTTCTGATAATCCCTGACTATAGAATGGGAAAAATAATGTACTAATAAATTGTTGATACCACCTATTGTGCCTGTTTTAATATATTGCCGGGGAAAACAATTTGTAATATATACCGGTCACTCGAAAAATATCTAACTGCACTGATGTCGTTTGGTCTTTGAAACTTGAGTGCCATCAGGAGATGCAAAGAGCCTTGTCTATATTATTTTGAGTCGAGATTCTTCAGAGATATCGAAAAATTATAATTATCTATATTCGTGATTCAGTTGAGCCATTTTAAAAGTGTGGACATTAACACAATTTTTTTGACCAATCATCGCATGTTTACAAGTTATCGTATCGTTGTGCGGTGTGACCTGGGCTTAAGTAATCAAAATTTTGGATAGAATCGCATACCAAAATTTGGGTCCTGTGCCCAGCTCTTAAAACAAAGTAGAGGGAAGATTGAAAGTTTTTGAGCATGCGTGGTAGTTTGTAAAACTACTAGTGTTATAGCCATAGATATAGGAGATCTAGATTGCTAACGCATACCTAACGCAGGCGGGGCCTACATGATAAATCCAAGATGGCGGTACAACAGGGCAAAAAGACTATAGATTCTATTACGAAAATCAGGATTTTTGCATTTTTTGCCGTCGCATTGTTTCGAAACTTATTCGGTCAAATGTTATGGTAAAGAGAAATTTACCGCGAAGATTTTGAGCATATATATGATTGAATTGGATGAAAAATCGCAAAATTATCCAGCGATAAATGTTCGTGTGAAATGGTCAGTTGGTCAGTTGGAGCGTTTTATTGCCAGAAATACTGTGCTATGTTAACATCTAGCCTTGTGAATGGTGTTTTATACTTGCATCTCTCATCATCATCTGCTCTGTCCTCATAATTATGAAAAATGAACTGTTATGTACCCCCCCCCCCTCCTTGCTTGTTAGAGAAGTAAACTGATGAGAGCACTGGATGGGGGTCTATCATCTATGGTCTGTTATAATTTGCTTTTTATGCAAATAGTGAGCAAAAATTAAAGCAAAACTGTACAAGTTACATATATAGTACTATATCAATACTATACACGAACTTTTATCGATGGATAATTTTGCGAGTTTTCATCCAATTCAATCATATATATGCTCAAAATCTTCGCGGTAAGTTTCTCTTTACCATAAAATTTGACCGAATAAGTTTCGAAACAATGCGACGGCAAAAAATGAAAAAATCCTGATTTTCGTAATAGAATTTATAGTCTTTTTGCCCTGTTGTACCGCCATCTTGGATTTATCATGTAGGCCCCGCCTGCGCTAGGTATGCGTTAGCAATCTAGATCTCCTATATCTATGGTTATAGCGGCAGTTATTACTTAATCCTTAACAAACTTGCAACAATCTTACAACTTATTGCTAATATATATGGTTAAAATATTTATGCTACCCCTAGGAAAATTAATAGGGACAGGGATGTGATTTGGGTAAAGAAAAATATATTCGTGTCTAAAAGTTGTCTGTCAGTATGTTATCACAAGAAAATATTTTGTTTCGTTTCTGACCCAAATCACATCCTACATCCCTTGCGACCGTAACATAACGACATAACCAAATTAATGTTCTGAGGAACTGAATTTGTTTCATGACATCACCTTCATCACGGCTCATATAAACTTGATATTAAATATTCACTCTTCTGACGTTCTGTGACTGCATGAAACGACCAGCATAACATATGTAAGGAACTTTCCACCAGAAAATTACACAAAACCTGACCAAATGTTTCCATTCCTTACAAATGTTCCACCAATTCGACGTATAGTCCCAATTAAAGAGTAAGCAGAACCGGTGTGTTCGACGCTGATGGTCATTGCCTAGTGCATTGTGTTGCAATGTTGACAATATTGCTAATAACCTTTACACGCCTGTCATGCAGTGGCCTGATATGGTGGCGTGAGCTTATCAGCCAATCAAATCGGCACATGTTATGCAAAATTATGCGTTATTACGAGCTGTTGGGCTATATTACTTAAAACTGAACTTTAACACAATACAGCAATGTCCATTTGTGGTTGGTGTCTGAGCTACCTGATCACGATCAGGCGAATGATGACTTTGAAATGTGCCTAGTAAATGTGCCGTTTACTCTAGAATGGTTTGACCGGGCTTTTTCAGGCAGTTCAGACAGAAGCCACAGACGTTTATTCTAGAGTGTAGAAAACAATACCTACAGGCTGCACGAGACCACCACGTTAATACCAAATCAAATAACTATCTGTTTTTTTAATTAATTGACTACATTTTATAAATAATATCAAATTTAACTAAATTACAGTCTACTTAACACTAACTATACTTTATACTATCTGGTAAAATGACTTTACTGATAAGACTAATATTAACAATATCAAAAAGTCATCTTGTTTGCTTCATGATATGCAGTGAATCAGTGGAAATTGGACAAACATGTCTACTAACAATGAACATAATCTACTGCCACTTGAAACAACCACCATGGCCAGGAATCTCTTTCCACTTTAAAACAGTTGTGGTATGCTTGGTTTTCTTACACCCGGGGGAATCTTTAGACCTTTGCTGACAACATACCCACCGTCCCGCGAGGATAGTTCCCCCCATGAAATAGGCATCGTGCACTTTACACCCGTCCTGTGAATTATCATCAAACTCAGCCCCGCACCTCCCACACTTTATAAACCGCGCGGTTCCTTGGTTCTGGTAAATCCAATACAACGCATCTTCGAGCATCTCGCGTCTCGTGTGGACTTCCTCCGTGACGTCATCTTCGAGAACTTTCGCGGGAGCGCGCGAAGAGTACGCGCGAATCAACTCGGAAATGCGATTAATTCGAGGAATGCCGTCATCCTTTTTTCCCGCGTCTGAAATTGAACTCATCTCGTAAACCTATTGAAATAAGAACAAAAATACTTTCAACTTTTGTAACCTGTAACGGACAGAGTTGAAAATTTCAGATTCAATTGTTTCCAGGTAGAAAGTTTCCACTTTTTTCCGGATTCAAAGTTTCCGGAACGGCTCAAAATTTGTCTCTCAACGTTTGTAAACGGCAACATGAATCGAGTACTAAAATGTTTGGGCCAAATTACCTTGGAGCGAGCGACCACTTCAGATATCCATGGCAACAGCGAGAGCTTAGGTTCAACTTTTATAAATATGACGGGCTTTCCTTTGGAGAGGGCATACTTCAATTCCAAACAGCAGTTCACTGACTGTTGATATTTCGCCGTGAGGAAACAAATGACGGTCGTAGAGCACTCGACAGCGTTCGCCATGGCTTCGTTGATGTTTCCTTGCATCCCACCCCATATATCCATCCATACCTCTAAACTGCGCATGTGCAGATCCATGTAGAAGTCACGCACGAAGGTCTGTATGGACCATTGGTAAGAACACATTGCGTCAAACTTGCGTCGTAGGGGAACACCTAGAGATGATAAAACGATCATATCAACTGACGTTATTAAACTGTTTTGCACAAATACATACATCGGTATACCTACCTCGGGCGTCGAACAAAGGCTTCGGCGGCACGAAGGACATCCGAGTCACCTCATGGTGTATGTAATTGAATACCAAATCCTTCTTAGCTTCAACATTCAGGTCTTTTACTGCGCTTTCGACTTCGTCAACTTTGGCATCTTGTGGTCTGGGCTTTGGCGGCCAACTGGGTAGTTTCTTCTTGCAGTCTTCAAGCTGTTTGTCCAAAGCTTCAATTTCCTTCGCTTCTCTTTCTTCCTCGCTGGCGTGTGGCTGCAACAAGGCTTCGACGGCGTAGCGAAAATCATTGATCAGTGAACTGTCGTAAAATTTCTTGTATGCAGAGTCACGGTCAGGCATTGCATAATATAGCTTTCCCGCTATTGCGAGCGCCAGCCAACCAGAGGGCTGGTACTTAGCTGCTCCTATGACAGGAATAATTTTCTTGCGGTATAGCCTTGCCGTTTCATAACTTTTCTGACTCGCGGCCGAGGACTGATACTCAGGCGATAGCACCGCGACAAAAACCTGACAACCCGAGATTTTCTGATCGTGGTCCGATGTCAGGGTGGGATCGATGAGGGATGCCGCTGACCCTAGAACCGACTTAACCATTTCTGTGACGTGCGAAGCGTCTTTTTGGTACGAAATTAACACTCCGGCAGATGTTTTTAACGGTTTGGGTACGGTCGTTGCTGAACTCGAATCGGTGATAACTGGTTTGGATAAATCGGTGCTCCACGCTTTAGATTCCAGCTCTTGTTTCAAGATTTCGATGGAGTTTTGAAAATCTTTCGTAAAATCTATGCCAGTCGATCCAGCCACAGCAATGGCACCGATAGCTCCTGACGGTTTGTATTTATTTTGTGCTAAAATTGTTATAATCGGCTTTCGGATTGTTTTCGCATAGTTTGCCAGCTCCAGGCAATACGCATCGCGCTGGTATCTCACTGAGCCCACGATCACGAACATAGCACACCAGCGGACTGCTTCCTCGCGTTCAGCCAGAGCCTGGGGAGAGTTCTCGTCAATGATAATGACGTCATACAGGGTGGAAGGCAAAGCGGCGGCGATCTTCGTGCATATTGGTTTGTACTGCGAGTGAGTGGAGAAGATTATTCCTTTCATTTTAAGATGGAGTCGTAATTCTGTTTCCTGTTGGTGCAAACCTATTTAGCAGAAATAATATTTATTATTGTTATTAAAACTTTATTGAAAGAAGGTTAATTTACAAGGAAATATGCTAGTTTTAGCTTTCGCTAATCTTCCACTGGACCTTCTAAACTATTAACTATATAATCGAATATATTTACATGTAGCCTGCGAACAGGCTCTCAAGCTGAATTGAGAGCCTGCATCGATGACTAATGAATTTGAATCTCTGCGTCTCAAATCGTGACGCTAAATTCTCATTGGTCAGATGCTATAATTTATATGTTTCCGCTGAGCTCTATATATGTCAACTGCAAGCACTATGCATAAAAAAACACATTAACTGATCAAATTGGTCTTGGCCATCTTATCTCAAAGCACGAAATGTTCTGTTTTGAGAAAACAGTATTTAAAACATTTGAACTTTTGCTTGAATATCTTATATTTCGAAAACAGTATAAACTGTACGGTCTAAATTTAGTTTCCACGGTCTAAATTTAGTTTGCACTAAAGTTGTAAACAACACCATATAAGGATAGACATTCCATATTTGGACAAACGAACGTTACGGGGCAGATATTCAAATTCATTAGTCATCGATGCAGGCTCTCAATTCAGCTTGAGAGCCTGTTCGCAGGCTAATTTACATGCAGTACAATTTACATTTCTACAGACTACAGTATACATAATTACATAAAGTACATATCGGTATATGTATAACAAATTAGAATTAACATACACTGTACATCTTACGAGTTATTTTTATACATCTCCAAAAACAATTCATGGATTTTACTCTTGAATGCTTGAAATGAGCTGGAAGATCTAATATCTGGTGGCAACATATTATAAAACTATGCTCCAGTGTACCGAAGTCCACTCCTGGTGATTGTTAGTTTATGGAACAAAGTTTAGTTTTTTAACATTGCCTTTCAATACTTTACTGTCGGTAACAGTTTTTTTTTTAACTAAGTTCAGTTTTTTTTAACATTGCCTTTCAATACTTTACTGTTGGTAACAGTTGGAGCACATGGCCCTACCGATGACCAGAGCTCCATCCCTGCTTCCTGTTTATGCAGTTGTCTTATCAGTTGTCTGAATTGGCAGGAGTCGAGCAGAGAAGAAACCTACACGTGGACTTAGACTACTTAGTTGATAGATTACTAGATTACAGTCAGTACAGTCATTACAGGATCAAAGTAACTATTACTCTCTGATAAATATAACAAAAACTTCGATCAATGTGATTCAAAGGAAATTAGCCTTTGTCTGGAATAAACGTTTGTTCGAAATATCGGCAAAGTTCTTCCATATAGTCCGGACATCAAGTACATTGTACATGTTCGTTGCTACCTACATTGGAACGATAAATTTCACACGAACCTTTAATTTCACATGAGCCGAAAGAGTATTTTGAACTCAAATTTTAGTATTTATATGTGAAAATTCTGAATCTCAGGTATCAGTGAAATGCACGAGCAATCAGTTATAGGTATTGCTGCCATGAAACTGATCTTGAAAATATGAACTGCTCCAGATAAATCCCCATACCAGTGAACACTTAACACTGATCATCACGGTATAGCATCACTGTATGTATCTTTTTAATCTGGGTGGTTTGCAAGCTAGAAATAATATACAGACTAAAGTCAAGGATGTAAACAGTACTTACAAAAACTATTTTGCCAGATCGGTGTCAATAACTATATTGCAAGAGTTTAAACTTTAATCCAAACTGTAAACGGCTTGTCAACTTTGTTGATGTTTGAGTGAAAGACGCTTCTCGTTGCTACAAACAGTAAATGCTCAAAATTAATAAATTTCTAATATGCAAATTATGGTTATTACTGTCACCTGCATGCAAATTTTATAGTTCAAGAGTTTAAGTTCGACGTCCGGTGTTAGTATATCTTTTCCAACATGGTGAGATATTTTTGACTGAAACCAAGTTGCTCACTAAATACGCCATGGTGAAACCACACAACACAAAGCACAGGTTTGTTGCCTGTATTTTTTGTAGATTTTTATACGAGTCCGTGTTCTAGAAATTGCGCACTCTACTTGTGTTTGACATGTGTGAATTAATTATTTCATTTCCAGGCATGTCCTCTGCCGTGTTCAATGGTGTAATTGCGGTAGACTCGCAACTTTTTTTTTTCAAATGTTGCTCATCATGATGATAAAATTTTCTAACAACTACAAGAGCTTTATATGCTTATGATTACTTCAACAATTACATCACTTTCTTGTCAAGACATGCAACCGAACACAAGTTTCATTGACCATTGTCACGCGTCTTTATTGCAAATTAAAAATATTGAAATTACTTCCAGTGCAATTTATTATTCATTAAAAGATTTAACGATCCGTTAATTACCAAATTTTGCATTCTTTTTATCGAAGGTTAGGTTGAACTATCTGCAGCTGAACGCATCAAGAAACTTCAGTTTGTTTATCCCATATGTCATAAAACCACTTCAAAACGTTGATTGTCTAAACTAATAATTTACAGCAACCTGTTTTATGTGATTGGAATACAATAAGGTGTTAGTTCTGCACTGCCTTTTAAATCGTCAAAGCAACGACGCATTTCTTAGTAGTGAGCTTGGCGGATTTTTTGTTGTTTCGGGTTCGGTATAGCGGTGTGTTAATGAGATTGGCCGACAATGTCGGCAGCTGAGCGAAGTCGTTGGTCAGTGTTGATGACCAATTGAAAGTAATTGAACGTCAGTTTGATAAACAGGAATATACTCGGCTACGTGACGACGCGTAGAATAATGTATGCAATATCGACTTGAATTTGAGTGAAATAGATTGAGACCCGCGTCACTAGACACTAAAGAAACTCACCTGCTACAGTTGGCTGTTTTGGCTACAGTTAAAATTTGATCACTTCTGGTACACAATCGCGCTGGCGACAATTCATGAAGCCATGAACTCAAGTGATGATACCATTTATATAACATGTCTTCATCCAGACAAAGTTTACCAGTTCGGTCCAGCGGCCTCCTACAATTTGATCAACATTCCACTCATAGTCATCAACTCATTGTTACTACTTTCTATCATCCTTGGAAATTTCACTGTAATTTTGGCGTATTTTCGTAATACGAGTCTTCAGAGCATCCCGAACATGTTGCTGATCACTCTCGCCTTTACGGATCTGTTCGTGGGGGTCGTAGCGCAGCCTCTGTTTATAGCAACACTCTTGAGAGACGTGCTGGGTTCAAAACCATTATGCTGGTTGGCGTTGCTGTCCAGTGTGACTTTAAAGTTCTGCGGAGGTGCCTCGTTGATGACCTTAAGCTTAATTATTTCGCTGGAACGGTATTTAGCAATCTGTCATCCGTTCAGACATCGTCTTTGGGTCACCAAGACAAAAGTTAAACGAGCAGTTTTTATTTTATGGTTAATTTTGCTTGCCTTGAGCGGATCTCTTCTTCTTGGTTTCAACTACAGTATATATTTTCTATTTCTAACTCTTATGACTTTCATCGGAATGGCTGTCACGTCGTTTGCATGTTGTGGTATATTGATAAAATTAAAAACACGACGTGAAAGACATGTTTCTGTCGAAGATATCGATGGACGCATACGAAGTCACAGTTCTGCAAGTACAACTTCAAACGACGCGGAAAAACGCGATTATAAAATTGTTGTGACGATGTTTTATATCATTGGCGCAATTGTTGTTTGTTACACACCAATGTTTGCAGCCATCATATATGCTCAAGTCATAGGAAGCAGGGACAAACTCTACCTAAAGTACTTTTACCCGATCGCGATGACCTTGATATTTTTGAACAGTCTTTTAAACCCAGTCATCTATTGTTTACGGAACAAGAAATTTATAAGCGCGATACGAAATATCAGTGGAGCCAGTGCCCACATTGAAGGCACTTTTAGCGCTTCTAACTGATTTCTAACTAAAGGTCACGTTGTAATTTGTAAAAATAGATAAAGTATATTTAATAGTGTTTGTCCGTTGGTGTTGATTAAGAAAACTGGAACCGATTTCATCTCATGTAATTAAATGCTTTATGTTTGTACGTAATTTTCACATTCAAACCTCAAGTAAAATGTAGGCAAACAATTTCACATCGTTGATGTCAAATTTGGGAAAGAATGATTAATTTTCATCGCATTGAAGACCATTGAAGTGTACTTAGTTTGTGGCCACCCGCCATGTTGGATTCGCATGACTGTGGCGGGAAACTAAGTTTGTTATCATGACCAGCTGTTTGTAACTTGATATCAAACTTATCTTACATGTTTCTTGGGAAAGAAGATTTACATAATTTCATGTATTAAAACTTTTCATTTATCACTCGATATTTAATGTTTTCTTATATTCTAAACAGTTTGCGTCACAGTTTCTTGTCGAGATATTTATTCTTTTCTGGACAAAAACGAATCAAATCCAATTTTTATTTCAGAATTTATTGATATAGTCATAGACATAGTCTGATAAATTTACCAAAACATGTTTATAATTGTCATCAATTTACTTTATTAACTTCAGCGTATACGTATCACAAATATGATTTGATTTCTATTTTGACAAATATATTAACAATTTATCAGTTTATATTATATATATATATTCTCTTCGACTTGTCTTACATACACTGTCACTGGAAGACAAATAAACCTACTTCACTATTACACAAATCCCACACATGTATAAAACAAGACAATAAAGCAAATTTGGTTTCTATGACTAAAAACTGAGACCTTTTTAATTAAGCGACCTATGTCCATATGGCGTACGTGTTCTCATTGTTGTTTTGGGGCACATTTATTTAGCTGTGAGTTTATTTGTTTAGGCGAGTTCGTAATATTTATGTGTCGTTGGATCGAAATAGCAGTTCAGACACGGATCATACAACAGATCCAGTTCCTCTTCTTCTTGGTGATTCGCGGGGAATTTGTATGGAGATTTCAGAGGTGATAAATTGGAAATAGCTGGAAAAAAGAAACGCAATGTTGATTTGTGTTAGAAGTTTTAGAATGTTTGCTATGCATTCAAGTCGCATCCAGGGTTTTTTCCGGATTTTCTGTTTTTTTGCAGAGAACATTGAGTTTAGCTGAACAGTTGGGGTGGCTGCACACCCCCCCCCCCCCTGGGTGGCTGACACCTGTACTAAATAAATGTAGTTGAGACGCAATGTGTTAAAGCAGGGGCACTAAGGGACACTATAAACTGGTTAAAGATGGCGAATGCGTAGTTTTTCTTGTGTTGTGAGATGAATTCCAGCCATTTTTCTCAATTATCGGGTTTCCAACTGAAAACTCATTTCCACACGTCACAAATTTAACTCAAACAACTTCATTTTTACTGCACTGAAACTTTGGTGAGAAGATTGAGTTTCAAAACTCAGTTCAAGATTGAGTTTTTGGGGCCGTTTTACGGCCCTAAAAAATCCCTGAAAAAAACCCTGGCATCATGCTAAGTCAATCTCAAACTTGCACCAAATAAGAAACTTCCAATGATACACCTTTGGTGAAAATTTGTAAACAAAACATCTCATTTTTACACAACCTATATCATAAGGGCGTGACGTCATTGAAGCAAGATGACAAAGTGAAATTTAAAAAGTTTGATGGCTGTCGTTAGATTGTTTTAAGGCCCCCAAACGCAGAGATCTGGGGGGGGGGGGGGCGGCAGGCATCATCTGGTAAGCTAATCAACCTCTTCCCTGTACATTCAAGTATCCTGCCTATCATAAAAATCAATGTACAGGTCTTCCAACAAGACCAAGCAGAACAAATTGAAAAATGATCTTACCGCTGTTGTTTTCTTTATTTGGAGTTCCGAGTATGATCGGTGGACTGAACACATCGCAGTAATCACGTGGGTCCATGCATATCGTGGCTGTGAGATCAGGTTCTTGACCAAGAGGCTGGCAAGAAAGACAAAACAACGTCATTTTCTGTAAACAAGTCAAGCGTCGGCTTCGGTGTTGAATTTACATCTTTATTGAAGTATCATATCACGACCATGAAATTTAGTAAATATACGGGTCTGACTAAGCACTAGGGTAATTCATTAGATGTAGTTGTCTTGTGTTTAATAGAATTGAGAAATATTTCGTTTAATTTGCTTACTCCTATATCCACCAACATTTCTGGACTAGTATCTCAAAGGTGGCGGGTTCGATTCCCATCGTGGCCAAGCTAACTTTTCAGCCTGCCCGGTGTGGATGCATACTCAGACTGTCTGCTTCCATTTACCGTTCACATCGCGTAAAACAAATTAGTATTTTTAGAAAATCCTGTACCTTCATTTCATTTTGATATTTATTTCCTCTCATGTCCTGAGGCGGTGTTCTCCATGCACTACACGTCGTATCGTCACTACAATCTGAATGACCATCCTCATCATTATCATCAACCACAGGGATATCGGCAATTGCCGCTATATGTCGTACTGCCTTCGGAAAACTAGTGTTATTCAAAGAATCTTCGAGATCTTGTTGAGTTTGATTGAAGCTACTACTGCTGTCTGATGTATCAAACCTCCACGAGCTTGCTGTTGATTGGTTAAGAATATCAAGGTGATTATCTGATTGGTAGTTTTGAGGGTCGTAGCCATTCTCTTTAACCGGTGAAGGAATCTATATTTAAAAAACAATATATAAAATAATTTATTCCTCATCAGTTATTCGAACTTACATTACGAAGATGCATTGATGGATGCTGGGATGGAGTCATTGTACGCTAGGAGGCAAATTGCCTGCAATAAACTTTTTAATCAAATTTTAAATAACCCGAACCATAAACTTCATAATTTAATAAATTACATTAAATTACCAATTACGAAACAACAAGAAGATATACATGTTCCGAAATTCTATGCTGAACGTTTTAAGAATTCGTATGTCATCGCTAGTTGTTTAGACATAAATAATCGTAATTCAACAAATTAGTGTTAGTTTTAATATTTATAATCTTCTTAGTAAGCCATAGCATAGGTTGTAATTTTTTAAATGTAATATAATTTGTATTCAGTCTTATTTATATTGTAATCGCTTACCAATTCAGTATTTGTACTGCAAAAAGTGAATTATTAAACAATCTATCTATCTATCTATCTGTCTGTCTGTCTGTCTGTCTGTCTGTCTGTCTGTCTGTCTGTCTGTCTGTCTGTCTGTCTGTCTGTCTGTCTGTCTGTCTGCCTGCCTGTCTGCCTGCCTGCCTGCCTGCCTGCCTGCCTGCCTGCCTGTCTGTCTGTCTGTCTGTCTGTCTGTCTGTCTGTCTGTCTGTCTGTCTGTCTGTCTGTCTGTCTGTCTGTCTGTCTGTCTGTCTGTCTGTCTGTCTGTCTGTCTGTCTGTCTGTCTGTCTGTCTGTCTGTCCGTCTGTCCGTCCGTCCGTCCGTCCGTCCGTCCGTCCGTCCGTCCGTCCGTCCGTCTGTCTGTCTGTCTGTCTGTCTGTCTGTCTGTCTGTCTGTCTGTCTGTCTATCTATCTATCTCTATCGGTCATTTTTCTTTTATGTTGGTCGTGCGTTGTTTAATTTGCATGATCGTGATTCACTTCAAACTGCGCGTAAAAGCCTTCCTGCGCCCCAGTGGAGCACTATAGATATCACAATGTATCGTAAATGTCCTCACCTCTTTTAGCATACTACTTCTAATACTCTGTCTTAACTGATGATGAAAAGGCATGGGAGAATGACGAGGACTTAAACTGGACTGAAGAAGCTTCTGGATGCCATCAGCATCTTCATCATGAGTATCGTCATCTGAAAATATCACAAAGGTTAACAAAAAATCAATTACGTGAGTGTAACTTTTTAACACATTGCATACAAGACACAAAGCGATAAAACATCTATAGCTGTCTTGGTGAGCTATCCCGGCATCCTCCCATAGAACAGCCGATATAACATGGTCAATGTAACAACCAGGGGCCGGTTGTAAAAAACTCTTAATCACTTTTTAATCACTATTTTGTAGTTAAATAGTGATTAACTCTCAAATACGCGCTTCTTATTGGATGACGTTTCCACTAACTATAGTTAACTTTAATCACTTTTTTATACAACCGGCGCCTG